TAGAGAAATGTCGATAGGCTGCATAAAAGAGGGCACAAGAAGCGCACTTTTCTTTACGTTCAGCGTCATGTTAATGTTTTTTACCGCACTTCTGGCGTATTTAGAAAAATTTGTAGACTCAGGTATAGTGATTGAAGATCGTTATTAGTCACAAAGAAAGCAATATCGTGTTGACTTCTTTGCGTGTTGAGAATCAGCTGTACAAAAAGACGCCTGCTTCGTCATCGTCTCCAAAAGAGCCACTAGCGGAAACCGGCAAAATATTCCCATCGTCATTTTCCTTATATACACACATGTTAATATGTAATGTTTGGAAAATGAGATGGGCAATACTGCAAGCACAATTGATGTTAGACCAACACTACGCCTGCATAAAATATTCTTTCAAAAGAGTTCGGAGACTTGGCATGGCTCTGTGGCAGAACAATTGATTGCCACGCAGTAATGCTTGGGTTCGATTCCTTCTGGGACCCCTGGTATTCATTGTTTTCATTCGTCGAGTCAACGCTGCCACTGTCGGTTTTTCTGATGCTCTGGCATTTAAATTACCACTGCTTATTCTCAACGTTATGGCGTAGAAATATACTGTTAATTACATGTGGCGAAGCCCGGAGTATACGGATATGTGCCACGTCGTACCAGACAGGATTTTCTGACTATTCATGTTGCAGACAGTTTTTAAGCCGTCTTACCCTCCCATGACCAGTCATAATCTTCAAACCATCTCGTACTCGCATGACCAGACAGCCATAACCGTCAAGCCCGCCTACCCTTCCATACTGATTTTCGTGTCTACGCCAACTTAAGGAGGTGATGACGAGAGCAAACAGACGATAGATAGATAGATAGATAGATAGATAGATAGATAGATAGATAGATAGATAGATAGATAGATAGATAGATAGATAGATAGATAGATAGATAGATAGATAGATAGACAGACAGACAGACAGACAGACAGACAGACAGACAGACAGACAGACAGACAGACAGATAGATAGATAGATAGATAGATAGACAGATAGATAGATAGACAGATAGACAGATAGACAGACAGACAGATAGACAGATAGATAGATAGATAGATAGATAGATAGATAGATAGATAGATAGATAGATAGATAGATAGATAGATAGATAGATAGATAGATAGATAGATAGATAGATAGATAGATAGATAGATAGATAGATAGATAGATAGATAGATAGATAGATAGATAGATAGATAGATGGACGGACGGATGGATGGATGGATGGATAGATGGATAGATAGATAGATAGATGGACGGACGGATGGATGGATGGATGGATAGATGGATAGATAAAAACTCTAAAGTGTCTGCAGTACGCATAGAAGTTAGAAAGTATGAAAAGGTTGCGTCTTATACACTAAATCTTATCCTAGGCAACGCTGTTCGTGCTATTTTGGCTGGATTCATAGGTTAAAAACGTCGTTTGGCAGAGTCGTTAAGAAAGTCGAATGAATAATTTTACTTTGTGAAGTTAGCCGGTGTCCTTCTATGCAAGAATATGCGCGCAACCCATCGATACTTTGGGATATATAAAAGCGGCCTTTAGTAATTCTTCATCATTATCATCATCATCCTGGGTCCCATGCTTAGTAATTATGTGCCGTAATGAAATTGAGTCGAATTCAACAGCAATGACGAAAGCACAGCACCCATGAACGCAACAACACACCACACGAATGGTTTCAAGACAACGACTTATTACAGAGCTGTATTGTTCTGCCGCGTTCATTCTTAACGTATGCGCGCCATGATTTGTGGGGTTTAAAGTCCCAAAACCACCATATGATTATGAGAGACGCCGTAGTGGAGGGCTCCGGAAATTTCGACCACCTGGGGTTCTTTAACGTGCACCCAAATCTGAGCACACGTGCCTACAACATTTCCGCCTCCATCGGAAATGCAGCCGCCGCAGCCGGGATTCGAACCCGCGACCTGCGGGTCAGCAGCCGAGTACCTTAGTCACTAGACCACCACGGCGGGGCTTATGCGCGCCATGCGTGCCGTTAATGCAAAGCGCACAACTACGTCGGTTAGTGGATGACTCAGAAGAAAATGGCGTACTTCCGCGTTTCGGTTGCAGTTTCGCTGCTCAATGTGGCGGAATTTAATTATTTCGCAATTATTACTGTGGCGGAATTTAATTATTTTGCAATTATTACTAGAGGCCGCTTTGTGCAAATCTCAAAGCTGTTATGTGTTCTTCGCAAGAAGGACTTGCATTCTTCTTTTTGGCGTAACCACTCTGTTTCACTAAATATTTCGCTAATTAATTTGTATGAGTTCAAAATGATGTCTTTAGCCATCTTAAGGTGCCTGTGGCTACAGAACGAATTGTGAAGGCATCGAACAAACGTCCCATGTGTCTGATTTTTGAGCATCTGTATACCCGTATTTGTATACCTCGCATGCATGTGCACACACTCCTACCTTCCCCGCTACGCCACGACGTTATGCTTAGCAGGGGGTATAAGACCGTGGTTTCGACATAAAACACCGTATGACTTAATTATGAGTAATTCCATAGCGCAGTTACAGTGCACGGTGACGCACGCGACTGGAAATTTCAAATCAAGTCGACTCAAGTATTTATTTCCACCATTTATGTTACAGATAGAGGACAAAGGACAAATGAAGTTGCCTACATGTGCTTCAAGTTGGGCATAATGAAACATAGAAGCAGAATTTTTTAAGCGAGTTCATTTTTTAAGCTAAGGTCATTTGAAGTCGTACACGTTGAGCTCATAATATCCTACAGTCGCTCTGTTCTCATGCCCGTAAAAACAGTTTGCTACGAAATGGACGGTCAAAAATTGAAAAAGTTTCAGCACGCAATGTAGGACTGCATGAGGGAAGAAGCAAATGGTGTAGCTGGGAGTCGGGGGCTTTTGAATCCCCCACTTTTTCTCATTTCGAATACCGACGTAGGCAGTCGGGGCTTTTGAATCCCCCACTTTTTCTCATTTCGAATACCGACGTAGGCAGTCCCACATCCATACAAACACACGCACGGATATACGTTAAGTATGGCTGAGCCGCCCCACCAAAGAATATTTTTTGGCTACGCTACTGCGGTCGTTTTTCCATTTTTCAATGTTGACCAGCCTGAATGATATTCGGCTGGTGCTTCCAAACAGAAATGCCTAAGTGAACCTCTTTAGCTTTAACGTTGAAACAGGTGTACAGAACATTGCTAAATGTTGAATGCGGTCAGTTTGCTGTAACTTTCAGTTACTGCATGTTTTGGGAAACTGTTCCATTTAGTCATGGAAACAGCGTGGTTTCTTCGCTTTTTAACGCGATGGCGTTGAAGAGCTCGTCACGCAGAAATTACAGCGTCAGTGTGGGCGTCGTTGGTTGTGAGCGAAAACTTATTTTGTCCCTGACCGACCAATCGAGGAAGATGCAAATAAAATAAATAATTCCGGGTGCCTAACACAGTTTGTTTGCGTGGCAAGCAAGTGTTCTACCCCGAAGCACACTTGGCAAAACGGTGAAAATAACTTCCTGTGCTTGTATACATGCAGGGCAAGCTAACATTCATGGTTTACACGCATCGTGTATACAGACTTAACCTGAAGTGTCACCGCAATACTACCTGGTACAAGCTTAGACTGTTTTCGGGTGTCCGAAAATGATTATCATAGCCTCGTCTTTGTTTAAAGCAGGCCTCCCTTTACAGAAGGCACATAAGTCAGTGCCACATAGCGGGTGAATAGTTGTAAAACATTTCACGCCGGCGACTGCTCGCGGTTTCAAGCACGCACCCATTACACACAATGCAGCCGTGTGCGAAAGGTTCACCGACACAAGCCACTCTCAACCTTATCGATTACATTGCAGTAATCCACAACTGAATCTGTTCGAGTACTATCATACATAAAAGTATGCACTAAGTAGTTTAAGTACGCACTATAGGAAAAAGTTATCGCTATCGCGGTCAGATTTTCGAAGCTTAGGATCCCCCAATTTTTTTAGGCTCCTTATATCGTCAATTCAAAGTCTCATCGCATTGCTGAACGCAGGACCTTCTGAAAAAAATGTGTGGATGATTTTATTTTCTTGTATTCTTGTAAAGCCCCGGAAAGAAAACTTTTTTTTTCTTTGTTGGACAAGTTCTTATCGTCGTCTTCTTTTTCATTCCCTAGTTTTCAAAGCATTGCTGCGGCGTCCTGGTACGGAGCGTTGTCTCAGCTGACACCAGCAATGAATTCTTCGTGGGCACACGGTTACTGTAAGGGGCAGTTGAGGGGTGCGTGAGACGCAGCCTATATTTTCTGATGTCACATTTATCGCTCGCTTATTTCATTTCAGGAAACGCGGCGAACGAGACAGCCGCTTTGGATATAATGGTTCTGACGCAGCGGCCAGGCGGCGTGCATCGCAAGCGGCCCTACGAGAGAGGCACAAGTGCACGGCGTGTCCGCTGACCTCCCGAGGTATAAATCGCGCCACCAAGGCGCTGCCTCCAAAGAGTTTTGTTTTACTTCATTACGCGATGCCATGATGAAGGTCTGCGAGACGAATGCAGCAGACGATGCACTCGCGGCCACCGACTCAGACGACGAACCCGTTTTCCGGCCTTTGCGCCGCTATAATTGGACCGCCTTCCGAAAGAGGGGGCGACGTGCCACACTCGACCAAACCACACGCGGCACCGAAGCGCACCTGAATGTAGCCGCAATTAGTTTGCCACCACCTAGTGTAGGTTGTGAAAACGCAGCTTTCAACGAACTAGCACAAACTGCGCCTCAACTAAACGAGGACCCCACAGAGATTGCACACCCACCGCTGGCGCAGCGCGCTGGCAACGGCGGTGACGACAACAAGCCGCCCAGCTACGCAACAGCGCTTTGGATGACGTCACTGACCCTCGGCGTGCCTCACGTGTGCTGCTGCCCGGTGGCGTCGTCGTGCGGCGAGGGCGCAAATCACGGCGGCGAGTGCGGCATCGGGCCAACGCCAGCAGTTCCTCCGGAGAGCCGCGATGCGCGGGAGGTAACTGTGTGCGACGAGGATGCCGTCAGCGTGAGTTCAGTCGTCGCGGGACGCCCACCAGGGCCCGGGATACGAGCGTCCACGCTGGCTCGACACCGCAACGACGTCGTGGTGGGCGCCACCCGGCTGGAGCCGGGGCCGGCGCACCACGAAGTGCTCCCCGACATCTTGAACGCGCACCTGCCGCCGCCGTACGCTACACTGGCTCCTCCACCTTCATCGTCGGCCAGGCGACACCTACCACCGCCTCCGAGGCTTAGGCCGCCGCGCTGCGTTGTGGATACCGAAGTGGCGGAGCCCAAGCATTGCTGTGGCGTCCTGGTCACCCAGACCGTTAGCATCCGGTGGTTCATTGTGATGATCGCGTTCGTCGGTCTGTGCTGTGCTATCGTGGGCACCGTGCTTGGTGCGCTCAAGGCGACCGGACGGGAACACCTCACCGTCTCCTTGCTCATGATCGGTGAGTCCTCTGACATCTCCGTCGCTTTGTTTTGGCACGCGAACAGCTGGGCATGCTCCAGGGGGAGCGCGTGACAGCTGTGGCGGTGCATCAGCTGTTGCCGCCTCGCACCTCTCCCGCATGGTCTCGGGCATGCATGGTGTACGTCTCTAACCGCGTAGAAAGTTGGTGGGTGTAAGCGACTGTTCCAGAAGATTGGCTTTGATGTTGCTGCCACTGCGCCTGTGTTCGTCGTACAGACCGTATTATTTTTTTTCTTAGTAATTATCGGTGGCATGAAACCAGTTAACTGAATCGTTCTTTAATTGATGTAATGCTCGCTGTCAGTGTTTCTCGCCTTGAAGCACCATTATGCCTCCTTTCCTTTTGGCTTTTCACGTCCGCAGTGTAAGTCATGATTTAATGTTGAAGCGTTCTTCGTGGCACCCGCAGCCCGTGTGCTCGATTTCCCGCTCTGAGTGACAGAAGGAAGCCGCTCTCCAATCGCGGCTGCCATCGCCAGCGAGCCGGTCGAAGTCGAATTGAGGCCGCTTTGGCGAGAAACTAGGACGGGCCCTTCCGGATTCTACGAGCCGCGACTGGCCGGTTCGGTTGCTCGCTGCTTTGTAGCTCGCCACACACTGCACAGGGAACGAACTCGGTTAGAGCAACGGTTTGAAGGCGCGGGGCTGTACACATAATTGACTGTTAGAAACAGCTACCTCTGTGCTGTGTTTAAAGGAATACTTTATGGGCTAGGTGACTGTATATAACTGGCTGATACATATGAGTGCCAGTAGAAACCGGCGAAGACAAGGCGTGGCTTCGTGTTCCTTCTAGTGTTGTTCGGTTCATAATTATTTGCTCTAACTTATTTGCCTCAGCCAGTCATGGATCGTCCGCATCAAGTCACACAATGACGGCGTAGTTGTGACGTGGCGGGTGCACGTTTGGGGTATCTGAAATCGTACAGTGTTGCCAGCAGTGCTCAAAGCGGTTTGCACATGGGTTTCACTTTAACTTGCGTTGACAGTCGATGCGCGCGTATAAGCAGCAATCGTGCTGCCACACACCGAAGCCATTTGGAGACAAGGACGCCATGCTCGATGCTGCCGTGCTCTCGTGAAGTGCGCCGCGTCCAATGTCTTTAGGATACCGTTAGCAAGAAGTGCTACAATCTGCGATAACTTTTCTTAGCATTGAAGCGAAGGCAGCAGAGCCAAATGACGTGCATCCTACCGCCAGTGAATGTAGTTCCACAATAGCGCCCGTATTTTCAATGTGAAATATAGAGGTCCCTACTTTATTTTCCTCGTGGAGCTATTTGACGCAGATTACACCAGCAAGATATTCATATTTACTTTATAATATATGTGGTAACTACGCGTTGCGGACGCACGAGAAAGTCCCGTCTTTTTTACGTGTACCTGAAACGCTAAGCGGCATGTGTATCTACATGAAACGCTGGTGTGGCGCCCCGGTCACTTTCCGCAGCGTTACTAGAAGCGTGCCCAATCGGACTTACTACGCGTGCAGAAACTCCGCTATATATATATATATATATATATATATATATATATATATATATATATATATATGTATGGTGAGAGAGAGAGAGAGAGAGACGTAGCGAAAAAGGAAGCGCACTGGCTCCGTTGTAAAAACGGAAGCGAGAAAGCACGACGTACGAGGAAACACTTTTATTGATGACATACGTTTCGGCTGGTGGGCCAGCCTTCGTCAGTGTGAGCATATATATATATATATATATATATATATATATATATATATATATATATATATATATATATATATATTCGCGCAAACATCTCCGCACGTGGCGTCACGATTCCAAAGTGTCGTTTTCATATTTTGGTGCTATAGGCTCAATTAATTTTTTTTAAAACTTGGTACGTCTAGTCTATGGAGCACTAAAAGGACAATGTACTTCATTTCAACCGTTGAAACTACGTGGACTCAGTAGTCGTCGTCAAAATCTGCGACACCATGGTGTCTGGTGCGCGAATTGCAAGGTGGCGTCGCGGCGAGCATTTTCTTTTCGTGCGTTTTCTCGCTTACCAAACGTCTTCTCGTGGGAAGATTGATCTTCGTATCGTAATTGACTAATAATGTGAAAGATATCGCTTTTCTATTTAGTGTCCCTTTTAGCATCACCTGTACAACGCGGCTTCGTAAATCTCACTAGCGTGCAATTTTTTTAAAAGTCTAATCCACTTTATCGCGCTGTCAAGGGTAGGGAAGACTTTTGCCGACTGCCATGCCTGTTCATTTCAGTTATTTGTATATTACACAGTGATCAATTAAGATCACTTTTGAATTTCAAGCAAGAAGGAAACCAACTAATCTTGGTCCAGCTAATACGTCATAATGGATGCTCTTGGAGCGGCTTTGCAGTTAGTGTGATCGGTACATGTAATGAAATTCCCTGCATTGAGGGCGAATGAAAACCACAGCAAGCTGAGATTGGAAAGAGGCTCTGCTCCGATTAATCGTCTCTTCATGAAAGATCCCATGTAGCTTTGCGCCCTAACGAGGCCGGCGTGTTCACTTTTCCAGGAACGAGGGCGCCGTTCGTCGACGGCGACCGCTTTTCTTTTGTGCGCTCAAGGCGATCGTGGTTTCGCACCAAGGAACGAACCGTCCGATTTCGGAGCGGGGGCCATACACCTCCCGCTGGTTTCGGGCACTTGTGTGAGCTGCGATGGCGCCACACGAGCCAGCCCCCGTCTGGCGCGAGGTTTTCGAACTCCGCTGTGTTCGGCCGAGACGCAGGCCACTTTGTGTGGGTCCGAAACGGCGCTGTTTGATGCCAGCAACGCTGCCGAGGCAACACCCCGTTTCGCGTTTAGTCTCGCCCATTTTCAAACATGTAAATACAGAGAAGAAAAGAGCTCGCTCACTGAAAATATGCTTCACTGAATGAGACTACACAAACACATAGACAGGGCGGGTGCTATAGTTGCAAATCTGTATCCGGGACATTATCTTTATAGACTGACTGAAATACTGAATAAGCACTCACTAAACGCATTGTTATTATGCCTGTCGATGTGGTTTGCTGTGCTTGAAATTTTATTACATAAGTGCATGAGGGGAGATTTACATTTGAATATCTGAAGCGCGGTTGCCTGAATGCGCCTTTGCAGACCGCCGTGGAAAGTGCCACATTGGTGGTACTTCAAATGGTGGAGCACGAAAGTTACACTGAGACATTTCTTTGGTATGGTCTGCAGAAAATAAGAGCGTTTATTTAGGTTCTTTTTACCTACGTGTAACCTCCTACCGGGGTAGTTAAATTCGTGCAGCTCGATGTGAGCTTTAAATTTTTCATGTTATTATGGCTGAGAATTGTGTGACACTGCATTTTTAATTAAACGTCAAATGTAACGTTAATGTACCGATACGTTCTAATTTTCGAAATGTAACGAGTTCCTTCTGCATTCAAAGAAGTTGTAGCGGGAACTTGTTCCTAAATTAAGAAGGAACGAGCTTTCGTTACTGTTTTAGAGGGACGTGCACAACTCTGCTGCTACGGCAGCCCTTTCAAGGGGAGAGTAATGCGTGTTAGAGGTAGCACTAACAATGTCACCTAGAAAAATACTTCAAGGTGGGACCACTGGAAAGGTCATTTAGGAAAATACTTTTCTTGGTGGCATTGGCGTTAGCGTGTCCAGACAGCGCCCTCCCACCTCTCGAAAACAGAAAAATGTTCATTCCTCATGGTATGTGGAGATGATTGCTCAGGCGCTTGTCCTCACTGGTTTTAATGCAATTTATGTGGCACGGTCAGTGTTGTGACAGAACAGATGGTAAACGAGAAGCATCGAAGTATGGGCGTTCTTACAAGTCTGATGGGATGCGTGCCTTCCTTTCACGCGTAGCCGTCTGTGGGAAGCAGGTTTGTGCGGTCCCTCCTCCCCTCGCCGCAAATGCCGGTCTGGAAACAAGGCCACTCACTCGCAGAACGAGGGCGGCCTTCCGTGCACTGTACACGTGTACACCACCGAACGGCGCCGCCAAGAGAAATGGCCCCGTCGCGCGTGTATTCCGTTCATTCGAGTGTCAAGGCGCTTTGGTTGCCCTCCAAAAGCGTGTGCTGGCAAGCTGTGAACACTGAGCAGCGAGTAGTCGTTTCTATTTATGTAGGATAAAAAAAAATGTACCAAGTGGTTGTCAACGTTACTTGGCGACAGCTACCCCTTCCACTTGATTGTTACACACACAAAAAAAAAGATGCAAGAACAAAACAGTCGCTCTTCTCCTCCTCGAAGAATAATAAGTACTAAGTGATGGGCATGAACGTCCGAAACCCGCGATATGATCATGAGACAGCCGAGGGTTTTGGGAATTTCGACCAGCCGTGGTTCGCCTTCACGCGGTGAGCATTTTCGCCTCCATATAAAATGAGGCCGCCGCAACCGACATTCGATCCCGCGTGTGTACCTCGAACATTGGTGACTGTTCAAGACTCGGGCCACGTGTGACTACAGCCTTGAGGAAAAATCGGTCACTGCGTCAGGCCCGATCGAGGCCGCAGGGCTGCGCCATTCAAGTGAGAGTACGGTGCGGAAATCCTCGTATTCTTCGTCACTTGGCTGGGGGTCGAAATTAATGCCAGGCAGGGGAGTATGGCGCCCCTCACATGCATCGGCGCCCCTTCGTCGGCTTTATCATGGCATGAAGTGACATTCCCTAATCACGCCTACTGCCCGGCTTGTGGCGTTGCGACTGTGTTGTCTGATCTTGGCGAGTCGATCGAACAACACCCGATCGGGTGTCATTTGTATGCTCGGGCAAGTATTTGATGCCACGTAACGTGCCATACGAGCCCAAGTTCAAGGTACCACTTGCGTTACTCCTTCGCTCGTAAACCCACCCGGGTTGGGTCTAAGAACTTCCGAATCGGTTCGCGTTCGAAGTAGCCGCGCTCCAACTTCAGTATCGTCGTTGGCGATATGCTCGCGCCCCGCTTAGGGTGCTGCCACCTTTTCTACTGCTCT